TTTATCTATAAACGGATGGCATTTTCGAAATCAGCGTCCCAAAATCTATTAAAATCAGTCAAAACGTTTTAAAAATCGCAAAAACAAATCCATTTTTTGACAAATATTCGACGTTGCAACCAAAGACTTCGTTGTTTTGCAGTGATACAACAACCTTGATCCAGAATAATGTCGCATTTAGGGTTTGTCGGTTTTCAAAAACCGGTTTTAAAAACCGGTTTTTTGGCGAAAATTATGGAATTCAAAAACCGCTTTATTAGCGAAAAAAGTCGTTTTTTACTGTATATGTGGAAAAGGACAAATATAACCAAATATAAAATATAGATGAAAGCGTTTTGATTCTTGAAATCATATCGGTTCAATAGCATTTACTATCTTATGTCCGCAATGGTTCCCAGAAAGGTTTTGTATATATTAATTTAGATTTTTATACAGTGAATATAATTTTAATCAATGTGACTTCTTCTTGAAGAAGTAACTTCTTCTACTCTAACTTAAAAAAAAAGTTTTAAACCCTAGGAGCAAAAGAATAAAAAACTTTTAAACAAAGAATAAAAAAACTTAGAATTATTATATCAGGCTTTAAAAACAATTAAGCATAATTTGGTCGCAAGTATGCGAGTATTTTCTATTTCAGGAAATTTTGTGAGTAAACAAAGGACACGTCTAGTAGCAATTCGATAGACGTTCTCAGTTTTTTGAAATCATATTTTATTAAACAAAAAAGAAAAACAATTAGAATGTTTAAAATTAATTAACTAAAATTGCTCGGAACAGACAATACCCGAGTTTAGCTTAATTGTTTTTAAAACTATAATTGATATTAACTAGTATGTATCAACATGTATCTAATACTTTTTTATTTTATTTTAATTTAATGATTTTTTTTATTTAAAAATGTATTATTTTTATTTATTCGAAAAATTTCCTTTCACTATCATAAAAATATTTTCATTCTTATATGTGAAAATGATGCATGAATAACGAGATAATTATTTTCAAAGTTATTTAATCAAGATAAACTATTTTTTTTTTAGTTCTACTAATTAAAATTAAAATAATTTTGTTTACTATCTATAAAATTGAACAATAAATAAATTCAGTCAAATTCTGCCCTAAATTACACTAAATTTGCGGATAAATTACAGAATATTCGAGCAAAAAATTATTTTTTATATAAAATTCGAAAACCGGTTAAAATCGGTTTTTAGTAAAATTAAAATTCGAAAACCGGTTTTCTGAAATGTCGGTTTTGTATAAACCCTAGTCGCATTCGTATGAACTATGAAAATATTAAAAAGAATCACAATGTATCTATAAAAGGGAATTTCTTTAATGATTACTCTATTTAGGGTATACCGAAATAAAGGATATCAGTGAAAAGCTCGTATGTTGTTACGGATCTAAAAAGATTGATCAAATAGAATTTTTCAATAAACTTTCTAAAGTTTAAACGAATTAAATAGTAAAACCACAATTATATGCACGTTGCCGTAATAAACCGTAATATTATTATAAAATAAAAATAATTTAATTTTGAAAGCATACACTATCAATTTGTAATAATATGTTGTCATTTCCAATAAGTTTAACATTAATATAGTTAATAAGTTTAACATTAATATAGTTGTAAATTCAAATTAGTGAATTACTACTACTTAAAACTAGCCAGCTTTTCTTCACTGCATCTAATGTGTGAACTTGCTTAAGATAATCACGAAATTGTCAACTTTTCGAAAAATGTGTTTTATCACAACTAAATTTAGCTGTACAACTGAATGCTTAGGGTTATCTATAAAACAAAATTGAAGAATCCTGCATTTAAACGCCGGCAATGTGGCCAAGTGGTTAAGCGTTCGACTCGCAAACTCATATGCACTCGGATCGAATCCCATAAGCGTCGATGCGTTAGCTTACAAATCTGGTGATAATAATAAAAGTAAAACTCACATGAAATCCAAAATCCTCAGGAAAGTAAAAGTAATCAGCATTAACACCTTGAGCTAGCCAGTAACTGGATCACACTGTTCATTTCTACACTGGTATAAAATGATGATTTACTGTCCGTTTTTAAAAATTGCAACAAAAATAAGATTACCACGTATATTGTACCGTTACTCTACCACTCTACCTCATACTACCAACATCTGTGGGATAAATAGAAGTCAAATTTTCTAAAACAAAACTAGTGAAGTGAATTCATATACAACTAGTTAGTTTGGTATTTAGCCATTAGGCAAGTTACATGAACTTCCCCATATGTTTAAATAATCGACTTAATCAATAAAAAATAAAATAATTTATGAGTCATTAAGAATATTCCGAGTGAATTATTACACATAATTGAAAACGAACGAACACTTTGACTCAGGACTATTTTCTAAAAGCAAATTTTCAAAAATCAATAATTTTTATAATTGAACCAGTGTTCAGGACTTTAATGGTTTATTATGTTCAAGACCAAGTACTCTATCATTATACCAAGTAAATAAACTAATTTTAATTTTAACAAATGTCAAAAGAACTACTCATTTTCTCAAACTTTGATGAATTTTTAAAATCAAACTATTTGTTTGTAAGGCCGTTTGTAATATTTTAGTAAGTTCTATAAGACCATGGTATATATCGCTAAAAAAAATCCATAAAAATTGGCTTAGATTTTTTTTTCAACAGTTTATTACAAAAAAACGGCTCGGTAGATTTTTACCTCAAACTAATCAGTACCATTCCCAACTAATATCTTTCGAACAGTTTTTGATTTTAAAAATCGGTTCGGTAGGATGAGCTTATAAGCTTAAAAATGTGGACAAAAAGTTTAACACTCTTTTTTCAAATTACAAAGAAACGGCTTGGCAGATCGTCGCACAAAACTGACAAACGATAGTCCATAGATAAAAGAAGAGTAAAAGAGAAGAAGAAAAGAAGTGCGATAGTCCTCATAGAAATACATCAAATGGCTTTTAAATTTCTGAAATCGGTTCAGACGTTTTTGAGCAAACGTCGACAAAGGTCTAATTTTGACAAATGCTAAAAAAAGGATACCAATTTTTGCAAACTTTGACGAATTTTAAAGCTAAACCAGTTGTCGTAGTACCGTAAAGTATTTGTCGTAGGCCCGGCCGATCTCTACCAAAAACTAATCAGCACGATTCCCAACCAATATCTTTCAAACGATTTTTGAATTTTCAAAATCGATTCGGAATTGCAGGCTAAAACGTAGACGAAAAATTTTTCACTTTTCTGCGATTTATAAAGAAACGGCTTGGCCGATCGTCGCATAAATCTGACAAACAATAGTTCTCATCGAAATACATCGAATGGCTTTTAAATTTTTGAAATCGGTCCAGCCGTTTTTGAGAAAACGTCGATTTACGGCAAAAAATCTGTTCACACACACACACACACATACTTTTTCGAAATTTGGTTTCATTCGATTCAGAATGGCTTGAAACGTCGAGAAAACATAAAATTATAATAGCGAATCGGATTTTTTGATGAAAACATAAACTTCTCTTTCGGGAAGTTAAAAATTGCAGATAAGCTTACTTTTCAAACACAGGATAACTAATTATTTCTAGAACAGGACCATAGAGAGTGAAAATGGTCAAGAAAACATTCAATATCAAGTTTAAAAAGAGAACCTTCTTCAAATAATGGCCCAAAGAGGCCCATTCTTTTAAAAGTTGTTTAACTTACTGTTCTTACCAAAATATTCAGTTTAGCTACCATGAACTTTATCACCATACAAGTTTTCCTCAAATTTGAGAACAATTTTTTTAACAATCAATAACGAAGTAAAAACTAATCAGCACGATTCCCAGATGATATTATGATGGTAAGATATAGTCGAAAATTTTGCGCTTTTCTGCTAATTCTAAAGAAACGGTTCCACCAGGTTTCATCGCTCTTCTAGAAAAACTAACCAACGTGAGTCCATCACGTGTCTTTTAACTTTTGAAGTCGGTGAAGTCATTTTTGAGAAACCGTTTATGAAAGATAAAAAATCTGGTCAAATACACACATACATACTTTTTCCAAATTTGGTCTCAAACGATTTAGCATGACTTGAAAAGTTAAGAAAATATAAACTTCTTCTACGGTATAAAATAAATTAAAATGTTTCTTATCCATGGAAATTTAAACAAATAATATTAATAATTTAAGGAATAACATGACATGAAAGCAGTAAATAAATCAAAATAAATAAAAGCAATAAATCATATTATTTGAATATGGCGCCGCGGCATCATTAGTTGTGACGTATGTCAAAAAATGTGGAAACTGTAGGTTAGAAAAATGACTCGTGGTAGATAGTATCTTAAAATTTTATGAAAAATATTTATGTTAAGCTGATTGAAATTCATTTAAATTCGAAATTTAATATAATAATATACGATGTTTAAGTTCAACTTTGTGCAAGAAGGCGATGATCACAAACAATCAGGTGTCAATGTAGATTTATAGAATTAATGAAGGCTATTCAAATCAATCATCTATTTTTTGTATTCACATATTATCAATGTCAATCAGAAATTATGGATTGTTTACATATTCAATTTATTTTGGCAATTTCAGTCTTCAACAAATATAGGCTTGGTAATATTTTGTACATTCTTCTGATACTAACAATTTGCTTATTATTACCACAAAATTTGTTCCACATTTATTTATGATTTAAACATTCATTTACTATATCAAATCACTTCATTAACTTATAAGAAAAAGTCCATTCTGATTACACTTTTGTGGTTTGCAATAATTTATTCAACGAAGTGAAAAAGTATGTTCACATATAGACTAAATTGGACTAAACTTTTGAAAAACCTTAAAAGTATCACAAAATTTAGTGTTTGTAAATTATATTGTTACAACTGTTAACTACGGAAATTGTAATGAATATAATGACAACAAATATGTTTAATATGTTATGTACTTTGCCAATTAATAAATGCTAGTCGATCCTTTACAATCATTACAATGAAAGTTAAATTTCAGATGATGTAAACCATAAGGAAAAAGTAGAATGGATACAATCACGAGAAATGTTCTTATCTGATATTGAATCATTTGATAAAAGTGATCTATTCGAAATAGAAAACTTAATAACGTGTGGAAATTTAAATATATACTATTATGCAGTTACACCTTTACTCCATTTAAAAAATACTGAAGAATATCCATTATTAAATGAATTAGAAAACAAACATTCTGATCTGCTGGTAGGCAAATATGAGGGTAATTTAAAATTGTTGTTGAAAAATAATTGTTTACTATATTGACTTTCGTTACTCTTCCAGGTGGATTCAAGATATGGGAGTGCACCTTTGATTTAATTAATTTTTTGGCTAAAAATACAGAAACATTTAAATTTAGCAAAACTAAAGTCTTGGATTTGGGTTGTGGAGCAGGCATTGTAGGATTATTTTGTATGTTAGAAGGAGCTACAGTTTATTTTCAGGACTATGTAAAAAAAATGATTTACATTCATTTTATATTGTTTATATTTAGAGTGAGGTTTAGTAGAAATCAATAGATCTTTTCTTAATAGAACTCCGAGGTACTAAAGCTGCTCACTATGCCGAATGTTGTGTTAAATAAAGAGAAGCAAATTGTAATAGTGATCAAAAATTTTTTTGTGGTGACTGGAAGTCATTTTGTGATCTCCTGATCAATAATGAAATCAAAGAAGATCAAAAATTTGATTACATCATGACGTCAGAAACAATTTATAATACTGACAACTATGGAAAGCTGTATAATCTCTTCAAACAACTTTTGAAGGCTAATGGTAGAATGTATCCTTTTGAAAAAAAATTATAAATAGATAAAATACATTCATTCTTAGATAAGTTTGCATTTTATAAGTCCTTTTTATAAAGAATGTGACTAATTTATTGAATGAATATCAAAATGTTAAATCAATTTACAAAGACACGAACAATTTAAAGTATTCGTTTTGCGATAATTCAAATTTAAACTGCCCTTTATTCTTAATTAATAATTTTTCTCTACATAATAGTTAAGTATTGAAATCTTAATCTTCTAATTAGATTTGTATCAGCAAAAAGTCATTACTTTGGTGTTGGAGGCAGTACAAAAGAATTCATTGAATATATTTCTAGAGAAAAAATATTCCAACCAGATTGTGTATGGGAATGTAATGAGGGTAAGGATTTATTTTATCCAAAAGTAACTAAAATATTTCTAATTCTTCTGTTATTTTAGGCATTAGAAGATGTATATTGAAAGTCACATTTAGAAACAATGAATGAGAATAATGTACATTTATGTTGCATTTAATAAGTAAATCATGCGTCAAAAATGTAACAGTAGACATGTATTTGTTTGCTGGATTTTGAAAATACTTATGCAATTATGTTTATACATTTTGTAATAATTATGAAATAATATATTACATAAAGAAAAGTTAACATAAAATGAAACTGAAAGTTTGATTAATTAGTTTAATATGTGTTGAAGAAATACTCTTCTCAATACCTATATAATCCATCCAAACATTTGTCATTACCTGTATTTTATTATATAAACTGCTCTCTCTATAAAAATGTAAATGCACAAATGAATAATTATTTAAAATATAGTATAAATACAAATTATACTGATTGCAGAAGTATGATCAATGAAAGGTTTTGGAATGATTTGGAAATTAACCACCCTGGTATGTTGATACAGCAATTTTTGGATTTTCATTGGACTGATTTTAAGAATATTTATTGCAATTTCTATTATATTAACTCTTAGTAGTTAAGAAACATTTTAAGTTCACTCTTCAATAAAGCGTTTATATTTTAATAAATTAAATTGTGAAAATAGTTCCTAAAATGTGGGCGCCATCTTTGGCACTTTTCTGTTGTATTGAGCCTAAGCCTAGAAAACATTCAACGAAGTTTTTCAAGTTTACTTACCAATAAAGCGTTCATTTTCGAGAATTATAAACAGAATTGTGTAAATAAGTAATTTCTGAAGTGTAGAGGTCTTCTTAAGATAACAAAACAATATTGCACTTCGAAACGGAATCACATAAACGTCATGACACAATATTTAACGCGTTATTAGAAAATTAATTAATTGACCAGGGATCGTTAAGAGTTTGTAAATGAATAATGCGCTTTATGCATAAATATATAACTTTTTTTCATTAGTTTCATTTAATTCAATAAGTTGCTGGAATAATTTTTATGTTTGTAAACATTTTAAGTCACAACTCGACTGTCTGTTAATACCGACTTTAACCAGTCATGTTCACCAACCCTAGACATGTAATAATCACCAACTTAATGACTAATACCAACTTCATTTTAAACTTAGTGTCTAGAACAGGGCTTCTTAAACTTTGGGTCGAGTAGGAAAATTCTGGGGTAGCGAGATATTTTTTATGTTAAAAATTTATATTTAAATATATATCATTTCATTAAAAGCAATTATTTGGTCAAAACAAGCAGAAAGTTACTTGAATCATTCAAATTGGATGCTTAGTTCTCTCAAAAACTGCCATTTTTTGCACAATTAGCTCGGTATCTCCAAAACGGCTAGACCTACCTTTGTCAAAAACTAAACACCACTTCTCCCAATCATTACAAATTGAATGGTTTTTGGATCATTGAAATCCAATACTCCGTTCTCTCAAAACCTCAATTGCCATTTTCTGCACTCTTTGCTTCATATCTCCGTAACGACTGGTCCTGCCTTTGCCAAAAACTAATCAGCACATCTCCCTATTAATAGAAATCGAATGTTTTTTAAACTATTCAAATCGGTTGATCCACGGCAAAAAATTTTTTTGAATAACGAAAATAAATCGAATTTTTTCTAGCTAAAGTTCTAGAGCTCACTAATATACTTTAAATGGATAATCTTAACTTTGCAATTCAGTTTATGTAATTTTTATAGACAATATTAGACAACGTCCTTCATTTTAAAATTGATTGATTAAGTTTTGTTTATTTAGTTTTCTGTAAAGTATTTATAATAATCTATTTGAAAACATTTAATATTCCTTGAATATTTCACGGGAAGTTCCAGCAACTTGCCTTAAGGCACGATAAGATTAGCCTAAGATTGGCCCCAAATGAATACTTACATATGTAAAAAATATTGAGACGAGAACAACTTTCCTGGCCATTAGATTAAAAGTTTTTTTGAGCAGGTAGACTTAAATGAATTTATTAACTTTTTGATTTATTTAACGTTTATCGGTTATATACCCAAATATAAGCAAAAAAAAACAAAAGAATCTCAAACATTTCAATAACTTCAAAACATTTTCATGTCACATCCCCAAAATTTTCAGTTACAATTTTCACCATCATCTAAATTTTCAAGTTACAGTTAAAATGTTTTTAAAAAAAATCCGTTACAGTTTTCATCATATCCTTTAAATACAGTGTTTTATCAATGACAGAACTTATAGGTCAAGAGGTACGATTTAATAGAATTACTGTATACAAATTTATTATGGGCCACATTACAGAATACTGAAAATAATTATAAATGCGCATTGTTTTTTAATAAATGCGATTTAACTGTTACGCTAAATATTATAACTTTATGATTTTGATACTTATCATTCCTAATTAATATTAAAAACTAAACTTAATAATTTAATACAAGAAGAAGTTGGGGCGTACGATGCGCAAGTGGTAGATAGACTATGCAACCACAAGATACCAAATTCAAACTCCGCATTGCTTTAATCTGATATAAGCAATAGTGATATCCATTTTCACTCGCAAATATAGATCAGAAATATGTTTCTAAGTATTTGAACATACACATTTGAAAAAGCATTTTATAGCCATCAAGTTTGACTTCGTCGATTACAATATTTTACTTCGAATTAGGAAAAACCTCAGGAATTAAAACTAAGCTACACACTGAATAAACAATCAGATCGAATAGTTAAAAAAATATTTATATCATCAAAAGCAGTGATTAATATAAATTTTTCCTGATAACGTGATAAATATATTATGATTACATTATTTATCAATAAATGATTGTTTCTTTCAGAATTCATGCCAGCTCGCTGTCAAAATATTTCGCACCTATGACCGAAAGGTAAGTAATAATAATTTTGTTGTTTCTTTTGTTTTGTTGAACATTTTAAAAATTGAATCTGAACAAGATATTTCAAAAATATAAAATTTGAAAAATTTTAGAGTGGAATAGAGAAATACTTTTTACTGCTAAATATGCACAAGCACATACCAATCATTTCTCTGAAATAATTCCAATATCTAAAACCACTTTGGAAATGTGATTATTTTTAGTTGTAATAAATGGGAAAGTTGTAAGAAGAATAGCTCAGTAATAATTAATAAAAAACTATTTTGTGTGTGTATGTGTGTGTGGGTATGTGCGGATACAAATTTTCGTCGACGATTTCGCAAACACCAATCAACCGTTTTGAATAATTAAAAAAGGATTCGATTCGTATTGATAAGGAGACGTGCTTATACGTTAGACGGCGGCGCCGCGCTTACGCGCTTCGATACTTCGTCTCTATGCAGTTAAAGCAGTACGATTGCTTTGAAAAAAAGTTCAGAATTTCCAAAATATTTCAAAATACACTTTTCTTTAGGCACGATGCCATGCGCTCCACTAAGTTTATTTTTTTAAATTAAATATATAATACTTTTTTATAAAAATGTTAACCATCTTATTCGTTCCTTATGTGCATGGTGGTGTTTACGTTATTTTAAATGGCTCGTGTGTTTTATGCAATTAGAAAGAGAGTCAAACTGGGACTCGAAACGTATGGTCTCTACTTTTCATAGTTTTTCTTTTTAACGCCTGGATAAATGCCTGTTAAAAAGCTTGAGATAATTAATGAAATGCGTTCTTATTCATATGATGAGATCAATATAGAATAAGTTTTCTCTCTATTTTAATTTACGTTATATTTTGTTATAATGATAGTGGGCTTAGATGTATAAATTAGTATATTTGAGATCATAACAAACAACTATGTATGTATATCTATTAGATATTCAAATTCGATAAAAATATTGTTAACAAGTTTTTTCATTTTATTTTGTTTTATTCCAAATGACGCAATACACGTGCATGCCACACTTGTTTACTACATGGCGATGAAACGTAGTAGACGCGGATAAAATTCATTCCTAGAGTATTTACTTATTGACAATGAAGAAACGTAAACATTATCGATTGATAACGAAGTTAAAAGTTGCTATTGTTGTTTACTCGATTCCTATTGGAGACATGGTATCGCGATGTCCAATCACAACATTTGGAACTGGGAATAAGACAAGTTCAATCGATGTATGTTAATGAACGAAAAAGCCCGAAACACGGTTCGTGTGCACAAATACTAACGAACTGACGTAAATTTGTGATACGATTGCGATGTATTTGTGAAAAACAACGAAAACAACATGTGTGCGCAAGCGTGTTGTGCTATAAGTGACAAACAATTTTGTTTGTCGATGTTTATATATCTCTTGCAATATATATGTGTGTCATGTTTCGTAGTAAAATGCGCGCATTATTTATTTTTAACGCATTAACTGATAACGTGTTTGGAAACGCACTTTATCATTCATTAATAGTTAATATTTTGATATAAGTTGCTGCTGTATACACTGGCGTTTTCTTGTGCTGTTTGCGTTATGTTTTCCGACGTGCAAATTGTTTAATGTTTGACCACTGCGGCCGCCATTTTGTGTGTTTGTTTGAAAATTAAAAGTGAAATATATTGTGTGTGGATAAAGGGGTAAAGGATATTCCTGCTTGGTATATTTAATTTATCATTTCACTTGTTAATTCACTTATTTTTAACCTGTTTAGTGACATTCCACATTTGTACAAGTGCAAACAATGGCTGCTAGGGTGACCGCAACACCATGAAGTTTGCAACATAACAAACTTATTTGCATATTTCAAAAATTATTTTTTGAAATTTATTCAGCGCTGAGAAAAACATCATATTAATTAACACAACTTTATAAATATAAACCATTATATATTTTTTTATGAATTACCTCGATGTGAAAGACATTATTGCAGTGCTCTTATTTGTGTGAGTTTCAAACTTTAAACAATTATGTTTAAAACATTACTACATTCATAATTTGCTTCGTCTAAAAAAGAAAAATGCATTTTAATGTAAATGCAATGTTGATACTATTCCTTTATTGCTCGTTCAAAACTTAGCACACAACAAAACTTAATTATTATCATCGTGTACCGATTTTTGGTAATATATAATATTAACGAATATTATTATAACGATGGCTATGTACTGGACAAATGAACGTTTGAGTGAATTAATTGCTCAATTCCGTACACATCCTGTGTTATGGAACCCAAAACACGAAAATTATCGCGATCGCCTGAGCAAAAGTCGCGCTTGGGACGATATCGCGTCCAATTTACGCGTCGAAAGATATGTCTGTGAGAGAAAAATGAATATTTTACGTACGCAATTTAGAAGAGAATGGAACAGGAAGAAATATAGCTTGATGAACGGCAAAATTGTCAGGGAATCCAAATGGTACGCCTATAGGAGTCTCCAGTTCCTGGAAGGAGTTGAGCAGAGAGGATTCAGGCATAGATTCTCTAACCAGGTCAGTGAAATAATATACATTTTCAATTTTCAACAAAACGCTGGTTTTGAATAAGAAAAACTATTCTTATGCATATCGAATGGTTGTTCTTCTTTATATTTTTTATCACCAATTTGCTCTGGCAACCTGACATCGGGCAGCAGCGATGTTCATTTTCTCTTGAAAGTATAGATCAAAAATAGGTTTCATTGAGGTGTCAAACGCAGTGGAAAATCTCTTACACTTCCCTGAATCGAGTTGGAGTTTAACTCAGCTCACGAACCTGCTCTAGGGCAGTACCATTATATTGTCTAGGGCAGTATTATTATATTGTCTTGGGGCAGTACTATCCATTACTATTCATTATCACCAATTTATATTCCTTTACCATGTCATCTTCATCTGATCTTTATTTAGTCTCCTGGCTTAATGATAAGACCTTTCATCTTGCAACCACGAAGTTCAACTCTCGTCTCGAGACAACCATCAGTGATATCAGTTTTCAAATGTAGATCTAAATGATTTCAAGTGAAAATAAGGGTTCAAGTATTACGTAAGCAGATTTATTACAATTATTTACCCCCCCCCATCCCCCTTGTCAGCAAAAGTAAGCAAAGCTTTTACCTCCTACCCCCATGCTTACGTAAACATTTTGCAATTAATGTAAAAAAAATAAAAATACTACCTATGACGTAATCATCATCCAGACTCCCCTGCCCCCCATGTCAACCCAAAATAAGCAAATCAACAACCCCCCCCGCCCCCCTATAGTGCTTACGTAATACTTGAACGGCCCCTAAGAAGAAGTTTACAGCATTGCTGCAACTAATTAAAAAAATCTCTCAAAATCAAAATTAAATACATCATAAGCAGGAAAAGTTGCACTGATAAAAAGCAAAAAGCATTGAGTTGCTTGATATGATAGCGTTCAAAAAATATAACTGAATCTCCTATTTTTTCTGGTCGCTGTTCAATATATATCTTCTAGCACTATACATCTAGGACATGTTGTGATATGAAACCTTAACCTATAATGCACCCCATTTGGCCATACTCTGTCTGAAGACATTTTTATTTGGTTTTCATCAAACTCTGATCTGATATATTTGCAGCAAAGCTCCTGAGAGGCTTTTCCATTTGTTATCATATTTTCCATCTATAATCTAGTTATAAGTGTAAATTTGATTTCACTTCTGCTTTGTATCAAGCTGGCCGAGGTGGATATAAAATCCGAAACCGCGTGCATGAAAAATATGACTAGGAAATTTTCAGAATTAAAAAGTGATTCCAAACCCTACTTCATTACTTTTAATCGCGTTTGCCTTTGCACAATATGACAATATGAAACAACTATATATAGTTATTAGTTATAGTATAGTATTATAATAATGTTGACATCAACATGCCTCTTCTTTCATTCATTAGAAAAAACATGTAGCTCTATTTTTTTCTTATTCCAAACCAGCTCAACATTAATTTTTATGGCGTATTTACGACTTCATTGTCGAAAATTTATTGAACAATTGATATTTGCCTTTCTAGGCCGAAAATTTTCACAACATAGCGTCAGTATTGCAAATAAGCTCAAAATGGCCCAACACCGTCAATAGGCGCTATCAGCAAATGAATATTCAACAAGTAGAAAAAAAGAGAGAAGAAAGCAAAGACTCATATTGCGACCAATTGCAAACTGTAAAGTGTGAAACAATGTCAAATGCTGATGAGGAAAATATTGATCAAGCTCTTGATAATGAAAATGATGAATATCCACAGGATTACTCTTTGCGCGATCATAATAAAAATGAAATAGATGAACATCTTCATGAGAACGACGCTATTGATGAACAGGTGATAAATCCAGCAAATACCACATAATTCATCGCCATGCCTCACATAAATATTTACTTTTGTTTTTGTTTGCAGGATAAACATGGGATTGAAGTAAATAATATTCCTGAACTACGATTT